GAGAAGAAACCTTGGCAGACATTGTGCTTACCACAATGAAAATGGGCACATGACTCAGGGTTGTAGAGCCCTGAAAGCACACTTGGAAGACCTGGTGACGCAAGGCCATCTGAGAGACCTTGTCGATGAGGCCAGGACAAGGGAAAAACAGGCAAGATTGCCTCAGGCGCCAGCAGCTCCACCCCCTCCAGCACAGCAACCTCAGGTAGGAGGACCTCGGGTAGTTAATGTGATTCACTCGAAGGTCAACGAGAACGAAATTAGAGGGGAGACTCAGAAGGTGAAGCACCTGCAACATGTCTACCAAGTCGGGGAGAAGAGACACCGGGCAGAGGAGTGCCAAGGACCAATACTGTCCTTTTCAGAAGCCGATCTTGAGATGGTACAGTATCCGCATAATGATGCCTTGGTAGTATCCCTCCAGGTTGGGGAGTGCCAAGTAAAACGCATCCTGATTGACCAAGGCACCTCTTGCGACATCATGTACGTTCGATGTTACAGGGAGCTCGGCCTTCACCCAGATGATATGGAGCAATCCAATAGCCCAATGGTCGGGTTTAATGGAACGCCGACATGGCCACTGGGAACAACCAGCTTGGAGGTGCAAGCAGGCACCAGAAGGGTAATAACAGAGTTCACCGTAATCGGCACACCCTTCCTTCACAACATCATCTTGGGAAGGCCATGGTTGCATGCAATGGGGGCTATTCCCTCAACACTACATCAACTATTGTAGTTCCCAACAGAGCATGGGATTGAAGAGATTAGAGGAGACCAACTGCAGGCAAAAAATTGCTCCATGATAGCAATGAAATCCACCTGCAGCATTCGAAAACCAGAGAAGGCAGAGATTGAAGATAAGGACGTGGTGGTCCTAGAGGATGTCGGCAAGGAGCTAGCCGAGAAGAGTGAAGAAGCACTGAAGAAAATCCTCGTCCAGGAGGGGGATGAAGAACGCTTCTTTCTTCTCGGCTCGGGCTTAGCCAAAGAAGAGGAAAAAGAGTTGGAAGCTTTTTTGAGAGCAAACATTGAGGTTTTCGAGTGGACACCTTACAAAATGCTAGGCATTGACCCCGAGGTCACTTGCCATAAGCTGAACGTTGACAGGTCGGCCAAACCTGTAATCCAAAGAGCAAGAAGACCGACATTGATACACGTCAAAGCAGTATAAGAAGAAGTAGACAGATTTCTCGAGGCCAGGGCCATTCGAGAAGTAGATTACCCGACATGGCTATCAAACACAGTGGTAGTGAAGAAAAAGAATGGTAAATGGAGGGTCTGCGTGGACTTTACCAGCTTGAACAAAGCCTGTCCCAAAGACAGTTTTCCTCTACCTAAGATTGACCAGCTGGTAGACGCCACTTCGGGGCATGGAAGGATGAGCTTCCTAGATGCCTATAGGGGATACCATCAGATAGCCATGTATCCCCCAGATGAGGAGAAGAGTGCATTTATCACCCCAAAAGGTCTGTACTGCTACAGAGTGATGCCTTTCGGGTTGAAAAACACAGGAGCAACTTACCAAAGACTGGTAACCAAGATGTTCAGACACCTGATTGGCCGAACGGTGGAAGTCTACATCGACGACATGGTTGTGAAGACCAAGGAACCAGAAGGATATCTAGCCGACCTTAAAGCAGTCTTTGGCATCCTAAAAACATATCGACTCCGACTCAATGCAGCAAAGTGTGCATTTGGAGTGGGATCTGGTAAGTTTTTGGGATACCTGGTGACTAGAAGGGGCATTGAGGCCAGCCCAGATCAGATTAAGGCCATCCTAGAGTTGAAGAGCCCGACGTCGGCAAAACAGGTACAAATGCTAACTGGAAGGGCCGCAGCCCAGAACAGGTTCATCAGCAGAAACTCAGACAAGTGCAAACCGTCTAGTGAAGAAAGCCACAGACTTCTTATGGACTGAGGAATGCGAAGCCGCTTTGACTAACCTGAAGAAATATTTGACCACAGCTCCAGTCCTCTCAAACCCAGAACCTGGAGAGGAGTTGTTCCTGTACTTAGTAGTTTCAGAACACGCAGTAAGAGCAGTGGTAATCCGAGAAGAAAAAAGGAAGCAAAGGGCTGTTTACTATGTAAGCAAAACCCTGGCCGATGCAGAAACAAGGTACCTACCCTTAGAGAAATTGGCACTGGCCTTAGTAATGGCTTCAAAGAAGCTGAAACATTACTTCCAGGCCCATAAAATTGTGGTGCTAACTGAACACCCCTTGAAGTCATTACTGCAACAAGGAGACTTGACAGGAAGAATAGCCAGATGGGCAGTCGTCTTGGGCCAATATGACCTGGAGTACAGACCTAAAACGGAAATCAAGGGCCAAGTTTTGTCCGACTTCGTGGCGGAGTTCACGCCAGAATCCATCGAACATCGGGCTCTGTTGAGCCGAGGTGAATGATGTCCAAACAAGCAAGGAGGAGCCCAGGCAAAGGCGAAAGAACAAAGCAAAGAGAAAAAACTTAGACTCTGCAGCATTTACATCGGTGACTCCTTTCGACTGTTCGTTGATGGGAGTTCCAACCGACAGAGAGCGAGGGCAGGAGTAGTACTGGTATCTCCAGATGGGCAGATACTAGAACAGTCGATTCGTTTGGGGTTCAAGGCCTCAAACGATGAAGTAGAATATGAAGCACTCATTGCAGGACTGAAGGTGGCAGCAGCAGTACAAGCAGATGAGGTAATAGTTTTTTGTGACTCACAGCTCATAGTTAACCAGACAACAGGTGAGTTTGCAGCCCGAGATGAAAGAATGTCGGCCTACGCAAAGGAGGTCATCAAGTTGTCAGCCTTGTTTCAGAACTGCTGACTACTTCAGGTAAGCCGAGATGATAATAGCCACGCCGATGCGTTGGCTAACCTAGCTAGTGCGATACAACCTGGAAAAGCAAAGACCATAATGGTTGACTACTTGTCAAGCCCGAGCATCGAACCACTGACCACAGAACGAGAAGCAATGTGTGTGGACATGGGACCAAGCTGGATGGATGCAATTGTTGCATTCTTGAAAGAAGGAAAGCTACCAGACGACCACAAGGAGGCACACAAGACCAGATTGAAGTCGGCAAGATTCAGTCTGACAGCAGAAGGACATCTTTACAGAAGATCCTTCACTGGACCCCTTTTGAGGTGTGTACATCCTTCATAAGTTGAAGATATTTTATATGAAATACATGAAGGAATTTGTGGAAGCCACGCTGGGGGCAAATCACTTGCCCATAGGGCCATTACCTAGGGGTATTAGTGGCCCTACATGCAGAAAGATGCAGAAGCCTATGTGAAGAAATGCGAAAAATGCCAAAGATTTGCACCTCTGATACACCAACCAGCAGCAGATCTGAACCCTATATCCAGTCCTTGGCCATTTGCCCAATGGGGCATGGATCTCGTTGGGCAACTACCCCAAGCAACTGGGCAAAGGAAGTACTTGCTGGTAGTAACAGATTACTTCACAAAATGGATAAAAGCTGAACCCCTTGCCAAAATCCGAGATGTAGATGTGAAGAACTTCATTTGGAAAAATATCATCACAAGATTTGGGATTCCAAGAGAAATAGTTGTCGACAATGGAACACAATTTGACAGTAAGCTAATCAAGAGCTTCTGCGCAAAGTTCAAGATCAAGAACTACTTTTCAACCCCAAGTTTTCCTCAGAGCAATGGACAAGCAGAAGCATCTAACAAAGTAATCTTGGATGGGATAAAGAAGAGGCTGCAGGCAGCCAAGGGAAAGTGGGTGGATGAACTACCAAGTGTGCTTTGGGCATATCGGACTACGCCGAGAAGATCAATGGGGGAATCCCCCTTTGCCATGGCCTATGGCACATAAGCTGTCATTCCGCTGGAGGTCGGCATTCTTGGGATCAGAACCCAGGGAGTGGAGAACAGGACTAATGATGTACTCTTAGCCCGAGATATGGACCTACTAGAAAAAAGAAGAGAAAGAGCTGCAATTCAGCTGGCAGCATACTGGCAGCAGCTTGCCAGAGCTTACAATAAAAAGGTTAACCCAGGGGAGTTCCAAGTCGGCGACCTAGTCTTGAGAAAAGTCGTCGGCAACAAAAAAGATCCCAGGGAGGGCAAGCTTGGCCCAAACTAGGAAGGACCCTACAGAATCACTTCGGTATTGGGCAACGGGGCATATCGGCTTGAAGATAGTAAGGGCAAAGAGTTGCCAAGACTCTGGAATACTTGTAATCTGAAATTTTTCTACCATTAGATTTTCCTTGTTATTTGCCGACGTCATGAATAAAATTTTAGCAAAATTCTTCCATATTTGTGACTGATGAAGATACATAGCGTTGTTTCAGAATACATGCATAATGAGACCCCAAGCGGAACTTAGGTTCACATTAGGGGGCAGAGAGAAGAAATGATGTTTAACACTTGTTGAAACTTGAGAAAAGTTTACAAGTTTAAACCGAAATGATGTTTAACACTTGTTGAAACTTGAGAAAAGTTTACAAGTTGAAGTTAAACCGATATGATGTTTAACACTTGTTGAAACTTGAGAAAAGTTTACAAGTTGAAGTTAAACCGAAATGATGTTTAATACTTGTTGAAACTTGAGAAAAGTTTACAAGTTTGAACCGAAATGATGTTTAACACTTGTTGAAACTTGAGAAAAGTTTACAAGTTGAAGTTAAACCGATATGATGTTTAACACTTGTCGAAACTTAAGAAAAGTTTACAAGTTGAAGACAAACCCAGATGATGATACTTGTTGAACTTCAGAAAAGTTTACAAGTTAAAGTTAAACAAAGTCTGTATGACCGAGGTGTGTTATCTTGAGAAGATCGTACAAAGATTGAAGTGTATACTAAAGATATATTCTAAGTACAGAATCATGCAAAAGTAGTATACAGACGACAAAGATACAAGCATTTAGGGAAGAAAAGTTGTATAAATTTTCAAAAAAGGCACGTTGGCCAAAAGCTTACAATTGTTCCCAAAAGAAGAAAAGAAAAAATACAAAAGATAGAAGAAAATGACATCAAAATTGAGAGTCTTCAGCAGCAGGCTGGGTTTGGACCTCGGAGGACTGCTGAGAAGACATCTCGACAACCTTCTCGGCCACAAGTTCAGCATCAATTTCTTTAAGGGTTTCGTCTAGGCTCTTGTCAGCAGGGGAAACGTTCGATGATGCTTTCTTTGGAGTAGCATCCTTGGGGACTTCCTCATCCTTCTCATCCTGAGTCAAGTCTAGGACTTGCTCATTTTGAGGAGAAGACTTGGTCCCAGCAACATCTTTTGACTTCCTCACCAGAACCTCCTCTTCGGACTCAGAGTCGTCGTCGGCGGTTTGGCTTGGAGTTGGGGGGAATGGCAGAGGAAGGGCATCGGTATTCCTGAGGGGGGAGTCCTCGGGGACATCAAGCCTTTTCAGCAAGGTCATCTAGCCAAGGGTGAAACCCTTGTTGCATGCCAGCTTCACCTGCTTTTCATAATCCGCCGTGACGTCGGCCACCCCTTCATTGTAGTCCTTCTCGTCGGCGGCCTTGACCTCAGCCTCTTTGGTGGCCAGAGCGACTTGAAGCTCCTTCTGGGCTTGGGCCACCTTTTCTTCGACCTCTCTCTTCTGGGCCTCAAGAACCTTTCTGATGGCCTCAACAGACTCTGGCTTTTCTTCGGCATCATTTTGGGCCTTGATAGCAGCCTCGGCCTGGTCTTCTAGTTTTTTCATTTTTGATTGTAAACTTTTGTTGGAATTTTGAAGACTGGAGACCTCCCTCTTCATTTCGGCTAGTTTCTCCTGATTCTCAAAAGATTGGATTGAGAAAGAATGGGCATGCTGGATGGCCTGAAAATAAACAGAATAGAAGTTATTAGAAAAAATTACAAGTATGGAATGAATAAAAATAAAGAAAACATTGCCAGAGAAAGACACTTATTTGAACGGAGCGTTGAAGCATCAGAGCGTAGTTTTCGTACTCGCTTAACTCGGTGTTTCGGTTGAGATCGCTGGGGAGAAGCAGAGCGGTACTGAGGGCTACGCTGACGTTAATGTCATCGACACTGTCGTTGGCCATAACTGGCTTATCTTCCAGAGTGATTCTGGGGGCCCAGAGGGCATCATGTTTTCTGGACCCCGAGGTGGTTGCAGAGGATGACCTCGCCCTCTTTGATTTCGGAGGATCGGATGGTTAGGCCTCAGCACGCCTCTTCTCCGTGGTAGGCTGGGACTTGTCACTTTCAGCCAGTTTGGAGATTGGCAAGGTGTCCTCAGTGTCAACCTGAGTCACCTTTGCCTTAGGCTGAGCCTTTTTTATCCTCTTTTTCTTTGGTGGTGGTTGGGTTTGTGTTGGCTGAGCGTCAACATCAGAAGGGATGCTGGCTAAGAGGTCCTTGGCGACTGCCTTTTGTCGGCCCATCTCAGTAGGAAAAATGGTTCATCGCCGGCGTTGTCGTTGGGATATCGGGATCAAGTATGGAGCCGAGGTTGACGACTACTCAGCTAGATCTGAGGTTGATCCTTGGTCTGTCCGAGATGTGGACACGCCTTGTGGTGTTGTGGCCGAAGGTGGAGAAAGGCTTTTCTTCTTCTTTTTTGGAACGTCGGGAAGAGCCGACTTATACGTCAAAATGAAATTAAGAAGCAGAGGGGCCTTCCGCTTGTGGACTGGAAAATTTAGTAGTTTCTTCAAGTCTTTGCTGAGGAAGAAAGACTGACGAAAGTCCTTTGGTGTCTGAGGGAGAACTGCAAAAAAATAAAAATAAAATAAGCATAGACATTAGAGCAAGAATGTTGAAAACTTTATGCAAGAAAGTAAGAAAACTTGTGAAGGATGGCCCTTACCAGCTCCTTCCCCAAAAACTATTCGACTTAAGGGATAAAGATGGAGGTCATCGTTTGGCTGAAACTCCCAGTTACCCGAAACGATGAAGTAATCATCACCTGCTCCCTTGTTGGAGTCAGGGAGGTCGGCAACAATTTTGTATTCCGTGGACCTCGACTTAAGGTAATAAATGTGGCCTTTTTCTGATTTCAGGCGACACGTGGTATAACAGAACTGGAAGTCGGCAAGAATAATCCTAGCATTCTCTTGTCTGGCTAAGGCTATGGTATCATTAATAACTCGGTACGAATTGATTGCAAGTTGTATTAGGTTCAACCTATAGAAGTGGAGGATTTCACGGAAGAAAGGGTCAAGTGGAAACCTAAGTCCACACTCAATAAACGCTACTACTGGGAATGGCATGAGGTTTACATCGGGCATGATAGAGTCATCATCCCCAGCCAACCTCAGATGGACGTCGGCAGGGATATCAAACTCACGCCTAAAGTGATCTAATTTGCTCGGGGTATCTACTCTATGTTTCTACATACCCATGATATCAGCTTAAACTGAAAAGGTTGGATTTCGAAAGGGGTATCTCTAAAGGGTTTTTTATGGACCTCGGCTAAAGCTGGAAGATACATAGAATGTGTGGGAATAGTTTCAGTTTTCCTAAAAAATCGAGGGTTCTACAAGCAAATCCCAAACCTAGATCTATGAACGCAAGGATTGAAGATAAGAATTTGGAAAAACATGGCAAACAGAAACAAGAATACGATTCAGATTCAAGAACAAAGATGGACTATCAAGAACATCGCAAGTACAAAGGGAGTGAAGTCAAGAACAGTGGCAAAAGTGCAAAAAAGTTGTGAACAGTGCGTATACTCAAGATATGGGCAAAAAGCAAGGTTGTGAAATAAACTTGTTTAGATACATGATTCACGAATCAAATGTTTGAGTAAAACAACAAAGGCGACTAATGATGAAACATAATTTCTTAGAGCACAACAAGAATTAAAACCAGAAGGAGTGGTGACTTACCAGAGAAAAGGAGCCAATGCTTGAGATTGCCGAAGTCAGAAGAACGGCGGCAATGGAACAAGTTGGCAAGAACTTCGCCGAAAGAAGTGAAACAGCGGTGGCTGCAGAGCTTCAGAGCTTAGAACAATGGAGGATGAGAGAAAACAAGAGAGAGAAAAAGTTTTGGAAAAAAAATGATGAAAAGTGAAAAGACGAAAGGGGGAAAACAGGTTTTGTCAAAAAAAAAAAAAAAAACTTGAAACGGCGGAAAAAACGGGGCAATTAATGCACCTGGAACAGCTAATACGTCAGACGGCGCATGTAGGCACGAGACGACTTACAAACGCGTCACAAGCACGATCCAGTAAGGAGAAGGCACGTGGCATAAACAGTTGAGTTGTTATGTATAACAGCTCATACGCGTGAAGAAGCCCTTGGGATTCTTAATCTTTAAGAAGAACATATCGGCCTATGATGATGATCTCGGCTTACGCCGATGTACTGACAGGAAGTATCGATATAGGTTCCATCACCTCAAGATGTTGAGGTAATAGAACCTAGGGGACAGTTGTGGGGATATATTTTATGAGTCCCAACACGTGGCCAAGGTGATGCCAACGTGTCAGCCGAGGTGCCACGTGTCCAGGACATGACGCTGAGGTGATCTCAGCAAGACCGAGATTATCTCCGAAGATATCAGAATCCGAGATAAGCGGATAAGGGACAAGAGTCCTAGAATAAGGGAGACTATAACATGGATAAGGATAAAGCTCTTAGGGAGTTTATCTTTATCCCTTGGAGAGTCCAAGATAAGCACTGAGCAAGAGTCCATTGAAGCTAGGCTTTTATTGGGACTAGGATTGAGTTTGCTATAAAAGAAAGGCACCCCCATGGGTCTAAGGTACGCAATTTATGTTCTGAACAGTGAATTTAGCACTACTGATTATCTTTGAGAGATATACTGACTTGATTGTCGGAGTTCCCCCGGGTGGACGAACCACCGTCAGAATCTTCTCTTTTTGTTGCAGGTCAGTCAGGTGTCATCTATTCTGCCAGTTCTCTCCAGCTGAATACTGAGTTGGGCAGTGTGATCGGAAAATCACTCACACAGAACCAATTGCCCCTCTTATATATGAGTGCGCGTCTCATACGTGAGAGAATGTGAAATCATAAAAAAAAAAAAAAAAAGAATGATTGCGGAATTAGTGATATCTAAATGGAAAGAATTTAATTTTTTTCTAGTTATGAGAATCAGATTAATTGCTTTCAATCATACAATCATGAATGCTATAGTATATTGAAGAACAAGATTAATATTTTAAGTGTAATACTACATTTATCATTTTTTTATACTATTTTTGGTATCACTTTATGTACATATGTGTCAACGCATTATTAATGTAAGAGTAATGTTATATATACTTAAAATCTTACACTAACAATCTTATTAAAAACATGCACATTTCAACATCATTGGATGTTTAAATATCATTATTTTTTTTTTTTTTTTATAATCAATCACATTTGAGTCTCTTGTATGTGTTGTGCCTACTGGATCTAAAGTGGAAGAGGACAACAAGTCTAAGAAGGGTGAAAACAAAGTTAAGAGTTAAGAGCAGAGCAGGCATAACTGCAGCTGTAGCTAAGACTATTGGGCATGATGAGGCTAGTTCTGCTGACAAATGCAAAAGATGTTCAAATGGTACTACAGCTGTATCACAACACTATGGAGTTACTGCAGCATATTAATTCTCTTGTAACAAACTCCAATGCAGTTAGAACTTAGTTAGATATTTCGTTATGTGCATATGTATAGTAGCTAACTTGATCCTTAGGAATTTGAACAACTGAATAAAAAAAATAATAAAAAATAAAAAAATCAGATTCTTTCTCTTTCTATTTTCTTTGTTCTCTGGTTTTGCATTTCCATTATGGTATCAGAGCTAATCTAAGTTCTCACAAGCAACAGTGACGATCCAATTTGAGAAAGCTTCATTGCCTTCTAATGTTCTTCTACTTGTTGCAAATCTTTCTTTTACTGGTTGCAAATCTAAATTCGTTAATCACAGTTAAGCTTGAATCTAGAAATTATTCTATTTGGAGAAAACAAATTCAGAATTTCTTTAAAGCTACTGAGTTTTTTGAATTTCTTGATGGATCATCTGTATGTCCATCTGCTACAATTTTGGATGCAAATAATCAAACAATTGCTAATCCTAAATTTCTGAAATGGAAGCTCACAGATTCATATCTTCTTAGCTGCATAATAGCCACACTCACACCTTCAATTTTCTCTCCAGTACTTCATTTGAAGCACTGTAAAGATCTGTGGTTTGCTCTTGAAAAGAGATTTACATCTCTCTCATGTTCTTATATTCATCAACTTAAAAATAAATTGAGCACTGTTTCAAAGAAAACATGATCCATGGAAGAATATCTTCAAGAAGTCAAAGATCTTGTTGATCAACTAGCCCTAGCATCGTCTTCTATTTGTGATGAAGATCTTATTCTTCTTGTTCTCAATGGACTACCTGATGAATACAATGCTTTTAAAACAGCTATACATGCTAAATTCGAAGTTCTAACCACGGATGAGTTGTGTGCTTTACTTTGTTCGGAAGCAATTCATGTTAAACAAAGTCATAAACAAGGAGCTTCTTCAGATCTCACAGTAGCCTTCAATGCTACTACTACTGGTTCTCAAAACATTCCATCTGCTTCTTCTGGTGGATCATCACAAAGTGTCTATGGTAGTACCCACTCTACTCGAAATTTTTCATATAATAATAGAAGTGGACGTGGTCAAAATTTCCAGCCTAGAAGAGGCAGATGCACCAATTACAGGGGAGGTAGAAGAGGTGGCAGACCACAAAGCTATGGTTTGGTTTACTTTGCTTTGGAATGTGGACATAGAATGAATGCAAATTTCCAACCAGTATTTCAATCATACACTATAGGTCCTTTTTCTGCAAATCCTAGAGCCTTTACTACTCAATCTTGATTTCCCTCAATGCCTCCCAATTTCTCTACTCCATGGTATGTTGATTCAGAAGCTACCTCTCATCTCACTAATGATCTGAGTAACTTGCATTTGTACCAGCCTTATCAAGGTTATAATTAAGTATTGATTGGAGGTGGAAACACTCTTCATATCCACAACTCTGGCATTGGCATAGATAGAAGGATTAGAAGAAGGAACATAAGAAGATGAAGAAAAAGAAGAAGCTTTGATA